ACACACACACACACACACACACACACACACACACACACACACACACAAGCTAAGGGCTATAGTGGATACAGTATATATATATACACAGTCACAGTTAGTGACTGCTATAGATAGCATAACCTCAGGGCTTTCGTTCTAACTCTATCTTTCCAAATGCTCATAACTTTCTGAACATTTCTCCTTTGTGGCTGACATTTTCCATGCGTGGGTCCCAGTTCTCAGGTTCCAACATGCTGCGCTCAGCACAGGACCTGGGATAGGGCAAGGAAGGGATGCAAAGGTGGCTTCAAGCCATCTTTGTGCTTCCCCAATTCCCCAGGGCTTCCTGGGACTACTTCAAGTCCTAATGTAACTTAGAGTAGCCTTAGAGTTATTCTAAGTTACGCTGGCTGGTAACAGCCCCTTAGGGTATATCCACACTGCAGCTGGCCGTTAGCCACCCAAGCCTCCACTGGTGCAGCAACATCCACACTGCTATTTTTAGCACAGAAACTCGAGCCAGCGTAGCCTGAGTCTGTCAGTTCAGGCTGGGAGGCTCGCTCTGTGCTGCAGTGTAGACATACCCTTAGGAGCTCTTATACCAGCCAATGGTTGCCAGATCTCAGTGTGCTCCAGGCCTACCCCAGGTGCTGGTGAAGACGAGGAGGAGGTGACGTAGAGCCAATGGAGCCAGCCTTAGGCCAGGTGGCTATTCTCTCTTGCTGGGAGAAGCTCCTACTACCCCTTTAATATGGTTATGCAGCGTCTTTGCCTGCCCGGAGTGGTGCCAAAGCTCAGGATCTGGTTCCTGGGCTCTGGCCAGAGGTGAATTTTTTTGGAAAGTTTTGAGGAAAATCCCTGCAACATTTTTGAGTTATTGGAGGGTGGGGAAATACACTTCCTTCAGCAATGAAAGAAAACGTTTGCTCACCAACAACTCAAAAGAGCTGGGAATCCCCTCTCTAGCACATGTGACAATAGCCAGCTCAGGGAGGAGACGGCCCTTTATTAGATTTCTGTTGGGGGTGACGGGAGAGATTAAAAATCAAAAAGGGTAGCATGCTCAGTGGGCATCGGCAAAGTTTTCATCAGCTCCTAATGACTCTGTCCATTTGTGGCCAGTTTCTGTGCCATTCCCAATAGGCCTAGGGGCTGTACCAGGGGCAGACTGCAATGAGGAAATTGCAAATGTTTCGCTGAAGCAGCCACAGCCCAAGCGGCCAAGCCAGTCAAATTCAGTTTCTGTCTTTTTGCTGCTGCCGCCCCTGTCTCTTTTGCCTTTTTGGATGAGCTCCTGCCCCCTCAGAACCCAAAGAGGCAGAAATCTAGTTGTAACAACTCAATTCCCTCCGAGGAACATCACTGGGAGATTCAGAAGGTCATTCGAGAATATGCAAATGGTTCCAAATGCGGAACCCGCCATGGACTGTGCTTCTGCTTTTCTCTCTTACCTTTTCAAATACCACTTCAGTTCATTGGTCCCAGGGGACTCCCTGACTGAAAATGAAAGTGCTGACTGCTGGCTGGGCAGTGACTAATGATGATGTTTCCTACATACAGAACACAGTACATTTCACTTTCCTCTGATTCACAGTATTATAACATTGGATAATAGATATTAAAGGTGGGAAAGATAATCTAGTCAAACCCTGCCACTGCAACTTGCAAGCTTGTTCTATGAAGAATGTGTGATCTCCTGTCTACCTTTGACTGTTCTAAGAGGCGTTCATCACTTCCTTTGGGAAATTATTTCAGTCTAAAGAGATCTCGCTGTTAGAAAGTGCTTGCGATTCAACATAGATGTTCCTCTCAGCGACTCATACTCTTAGTTTTTTTTCCCTTGGGACTGCCCTCTACAATTTCTCTCCATCCTTGGTCTTTATACCTTTCAGATACATATAGAATGCTATCGTGTTCTTCTTTATTTATCACTTAGCCTGTTAGGTTAAATACATATATATAGATATATAAAATATTTCCTCAACCAATCCCTCACATTTTGGATTATTGCCAAGATTCCCCCCTCAGTGCCATAGTGAATATGTGCCCATTAGAGC